GGGGGGGGGGGGTGGGTTAAGAACTTCGTCAGGAAAAGGTCACAGCTGCTTGCTGGGAAGTGAAATAATTCATGTAGAGCAAGTGCTTGGCTTGGAAAAAAATCCAGCTTGAGTTATTGCAGCAGGAGCAAGCGGAGGCTTCTGGATTTTCCCTGGGAGCTGGGAAGTGTTTGCAGGAAGCATCACTGCAGGACACGGCTGCTGCAACCTGGGTCTCACTTCCAACCCTGGGCCCAAGCCCGACGCACCTGGATTTTGGGCATGTGGAAATATTTCCCTCCTCTGGGAATTGTGTTTTCTCCTTTGGCACCACTGGCCAGCGCTGGGTCTCTGCTGGGGGGAATTTCCCCAGGGCAAAAGAGACATTTCCAGAAGCATCAATACCCAGACAGAGAAAAGAGCTGCTAATTATACTGGGAATCTGCTTTCTCCACCCTCTGGGTTTGAAACAGAGAATTCCCAAAGGATTTCCCTCTGCCCTGGGGACTTTGCCCCAGAGCTGCTCCTCTCCCCGCAGCGATGCCAGAGGTCACTTGGCTGGGAAGCAACGTCCCCTTGAGCCTCCCACGATGAATTTCTGGCAAAAAAAAAGGCACTTGGCAGAGGGAGTGAGAGCGTGGAAAACCAGCAGTGGGGAAAGGGCCTCCAAATACCTTCAACCTGTTGAATTCGAAGAGATTGGGGAAGTTTTGGTCTCTTTCCTACCCAGTTTTGAGCTCCTTCCCTTATTCTTTTATTCTCCTGAAAATTCAGCTCCTTGTCAGAGCTGGAAGTCACGATCACCTCCCCTGATATCCGTGTAATCACGTTTGATGAGTCACTTGTTTAAAGGGAAGAGGCTGCTGGTTGCTATAGGGATGGCAGCAGAGGGGAGAGGATCCCTTCCTTACCCTCATCACTGTTAGGGACTGAGCAAACACAAACCAGGCCCCTTCCAGGACAACTGTCCTCCAAAAGTTTTTGAGGGTTTTATACACTGGGCTCTGTCCCCAGCTGCAGGGATGCCCAGGTTGGCTACTGAGTGTGGGACAAGCTGGAGCTCAGGGACAGTGCAGGGCTGGGAGGTGGCAGGGACCAGGGAGGGATAGGGATGAGCATGGTGCTCCGAGTTTGGCTGAGGTCCCATGGGCTGCAGTGACTTTGGGGTGAGGGAAGGAGACACCTGGGAGCCCCCTGTCACCAGCTCCTTCAGCACTCCTCTCTTCTTAGGCTGCTTCCTTACATCCAAGGTAAAAAATGTGGCTTCAGGGAACGCCAGGGGCTGCTGTGGCCAAAACTGCCCAAAAGAGCCCAAAACTCTGTCTTGTTCCCCATCTGCTTTGTGAGGTATTTGTACCTAAACCTGCCTCGTTAGGTGCTTGAGCCCCCCAGATCCTGCCCTGCTGGGTCCCTTTGTCCCAAATCCTGCCTCATTGAGCCTCTGTCTCCCAAATCCCACTTTGTTGAATCCCAGTCCCCCAGATCCTGCCTCAGCAAGTCCCTGACCCTCAAATCCTGTCCCACTAGGTCCCTGTGCCCCAAGGCCCATGACCCCAGAGGTGTCAGCCATGCCCCTCTGTCCGATGGGAAGAGGGGATGCTCTGTGCCCACCCAACTAAATGATCATTATTGCCCATAATTAAATCTGATCCAACATCCCTGAGCTTGTGACCATCTGTGGCCAGGTGGTTATTTCAGCAAGGCAAAAAACCAAACAAACCCCCAAACTCCCTCCTCTCTCCCCATCAGGTGTTTCTGGAGCTGCACAGGAGGCAAAGCAGGTTCTTCACGCAGCAGGAGGCAGCGCCGCGGGACGCGCGGCCCACGGGGTCAGCCCCGCACGCCACCTGCTCCAGCTTCACCCTGGTTTTAGCCACTTGGCTTTTGAAGAAAATCAAACCCCATTCAGGAAAAACACCGCTGAGACATTAAGGAAAAAAAACCCCAACACCCAGCCCCGATCCTGGTCGTTGGGAGCATCCGATGCCCCCCAGGGAGCTCCCCGCACCCTCCTGCGCTCACGTGTTTTCTCCCGAACACAGACATTGTCACCCTCAAAACCTGTCAAGGTGAGTGTGTCCCCGGTGCCCACAGCAGCACATGTCCCCGTGTCCTGCAGCAGGGTGGGTGCTGGTCCCTGCTGCACAGTCACAGGGGACAGGAGGGAGAAATGCCCCCAAAACCGAGTGTTTGGGCTGCCCCGGGTGCCCCAGCAAGGGACAAAACCCTGGCGGGGAGCAGGGCTGTGTGTGGGCAGAGCGACCTGCTCAGCTGGATAAATAAGAGTTACTACACAACAGGACATCCCCCAGCCAGACCACTCAGCTCATCCCTCTGTCTACTGCACCCCACTGCTGGGCAGCACGAGGAGCCCGCAGTATTACTGCAGCTGCAGGAGAAAAAGAACATTCCCAGCTGCTCCCAGCACCCGGGGCTGACTCCGGGAGCAGTGGCTGCCAAAGGGGGGAGTTGCACTTTGAGTACATCAAAGATGTACCAGCTCAAGGGAGACCTCCCCAAACGCTTCCCACCAGTCTCAGAGGAAAATCAGGGTGGAAAGGGATGAAACCCTAAGCAAAGAAGTGTTAATGACCCCCAAGCCCCCAGCAGAGAGGTGGGGAAGGGGTCTGTGGGCCAGGAGAGCAGCTGCTCTGGGATTTGGGGTGTCCCAGCCACTTCCACAAGACCCAACACCCTCCCAGCAACATCCGTCAGCCCAGCATGTTATTTTTTCTCACTGCCAAGATATAATTAGTGCCAGTTCTTCAGGAGCTGTCACTCACCATCACACAAGGTTTGCTTTTCTTAGGAATATGACTAACCAGCAAATGATTAAACACGCTGAGGGAAGGAGGAGGGGGAAGTGAGTTTGGTTTTTTTCCTCCCTGGGAAGCAATAAAACTAAACCCAAAACCAACTTCAGGAGCTACTTTGCAGTTCCAGAGGGTGGAACACACCGAGAGTGCTCAAGGAATGAGCTTTAAGCCGTGGATGCCGGAGCCGCGCTCGGGGAGGTGGGAGTCACCGTGATGTTCATAACCACGTAACCTCTGCGGGGACACGAGCACAAGAAGCCAACCCACCTTCCTGCCAACCTCCTGTTTCCCCCTCCCCGATTCCCTCACCGCTCGCACCTCCAGAGGGAGGTGCAGGGGATGCCCCTGTTCGAGCTCCT